AGGATGAAACAGAGATTCCCCTTAAAGTAATGGTTTCTTGGAAGAGTTTACCTTGGGTTCTCCCCATGCAGCTTGGCATTTTCCATCTCCCTGTGCTTTGCCGTTTTTCTCTGGGTTTAAAAAAGGTAAGATACGTAAACCCTTCAGGCTGGAAGGGACCATCCACTCTAACCATCTAACCAAGCTTCAGATGTGAACCCTCTCATTACGGAAGGTTCACCTCTAAAAAGAACCAGGACTGGGAGCAAAACCTCACACCAAACTCACAGCAAAGGATGCGTCTTTCTCCTTCTTGTACCAGAGACCTTCCAAACCACACAGGCAGGAGATGGGGTAATAAACCCAGAGGAAACTGAGACATGGAGGGGTAGATAAGGAGGAGCAATGCTCATGCACTGCAGGCAACCTTGGATGCAGAATTCCTGTGAAGTGAGATTAAGCATGTGTTAACTACAGGCCATTCTTCCTGTATCTCCATAGGCATAGCAGTTCCTTCAGCCAATTACCACCTTCCCTTGAAGGGGAGTGATGCCTCTCCCAGGTTTCTCTGCTAGCATCCTGAGAGAACTGATCTATGAGCTATTCAGTGGTTACTCACCACTCTTGTGCTTGCAGCCCTGTGACTTGACCACAAGGCGCTCAGAAGGTGATCTGGGGAGATAGGATCCGATGTAAAATGTTCCTAGATATCCCTGGAGCCATGATGTAATGAACCAAGGTTTTCTTCTTTACATTCCACTCTGCTGAAAAACCACAGGCCCCAAAGTATGGGCCCAGAGAAGCTGAGGAGTTTTAAAAAGGAGGCTCAGATCTTGTGCTGGGCTGAGCCATTCCATGCTGAGGTGCTAAGGTTTCTGCCTAAATCCTGCCCCTCTACTCTGCTCTCGTGAGACCTTACCTGCAGCACTGTGTGCAGTTCTGGTGTCCTCAACATAAAAAGGACATGGAACTGTTGGAACAAGTCCAGAGGAGGCCACGAGGATGATCAGGGGCTGGAGCACCTCCTGTATGAAGACAGGCTGAGAAAGTTGGGGCTGTTCAGCCTGGAGAAGAGAAGGCTGCGTGGAGACCTCATAGCAGCCTTCCAGTATCTGAAGGGGGCCTATAGGGATGCTGGGGAGGGACTCTTCATTAGGGACTGTAGTGACAGGACAAGGGGTAACGGGTTCAAACTTAAACAGGGGAAGTTTAGATTGGATATAAGGAGGAAATTCTTTCCTGTTAGGGTGGTGAGGCACTGGAATGGGTTGCCCAGGGAGGTTGTGAATGCTCCATCCCTGGCAGTGTTCAAGGCCGTGTTGGACGAGGCCTTGGGTGATATGATTTAGCATAGGGTGTCCCTGCCCACAGCAGGGGGCTGGAACTGGATGATCTTAAGGTCCTTTCGAGCCCTAACGATTCTATGATTCTATCCTGTGTCACTTAGTAAAGTCTTTTCCCAGTCTTTTCCAATAGTCTTTTCCCAGCAACCACTCCCTTGTTTCTGCTGCTGTGATGGGAGGTGTTGCCAAAGGAAAAGGCAGCACAACCAGGCCTGTGTTGTACCTCGCTACTCCGAGTTTGTTGCCTGTTTGGAGCTTTGGTATGTGTTGTAATGGTTCCACACAGAGCACTGTTTTCTTAGTGTCACGTGTGCTGGAGCTGAGAACACAGATTGCAGTATCTCAGTGCTTTGAAAGACCTTCAAAACCATTTTTGGAGGGACAGTGATTCCCGAGTCATGTGTCTGTGACAGTCATCCTGGCATATTTATATCTGCCGGACCAGGATGAGACTGTCCATGCTTTGATGCTTTGGATTTCAGTACCTGTTGAAATCCCCTGAACAAAAGGTGCTATTAATTACGGGGCCTGGCTTTGATGAATGATGCATAGGGGACAACATTTCATTTTGTCTAGGGGGAGGTAAGTGGGATGGGGCATTTCTGAGTGTTCAGTGATGCAGGAGAGGTGCTGGGTGTTGCCTGATCAAGGGGAAGTTGCTTCCTCTCTCTAGAGTGCTGTAAAGTCAGTGTCAAGTCACTGTGGCATCTGGGTTATGTCACCTTCTGATGGGGCTACCTCTTTATACATCAGATTTGCCCAGACAAAAACCAATTCAGCTCTTTACCTAAAAAGCTTCAGAATTACTCTAGTTCTAATGGCTTTTGCCTGCCTGAGGGACTGTCCAAGGCCATTTTAACACCAGAGCAATGAATTTGGGGTTCAGATTCTTATTCAGATAGGTGAGATGGGGTGTTCTCAGAGGAAGCCCCACGATGTCAACATTTCTTTCCCCACATCCTTTTGAAAGGGCAAAGAGAAGTCTTACAAAAGCTGCTTATATGGCAGGATTATAAGAAATGCTTGTTCCTGAAATGGTGAATAAAACCTTTTCCCACAGCTTTGATTTGGCTGCCGAAAGTTGATTTCCTATCTGTGTGTATCATGATGTTTCTGTGCCCGGGGGTCATGTCTGTGCCAGAAAGTTGAATTAATATTTGGGGTATCTGAAAGGTTTGTCTGTACAAACAGCACTACTTGTCACTTCAGTCATCTGAGAACATCTGTAGCTGGTCTCACAAAGGGGCTCAGTAGCAGGACTACACGGTAGGAGGTTTGTGGGATGCCAGCTGGTGTAACTGGTGGGAAACAAGCCCATTCAAAAGGGAGAGGAAAAGAAGGAACACCATAAGACAGTGCTATTGAAACTAAGGATAATGGAAAGAAAGTATTCATTCCTTTTAAAGCTCCCAAAGTGACAAGGAATAAATTGGGTCGCATGATGTTCTCTTGTGGCCAAGAGAAGACTTAGCAAAGACAGAAGGTGTGATTATTGGTTTTTAACTGAGTTTAAGTATTTATACTGTAGATGGTGGCATGATTTAATCTTCATATTCATACAATCATAGAATCATAGAATAGTTTGGGTTGGAAAGGACCTGAAGATCATCCAGTTCCAACCCCCACTGCCATGGGCAGGGACACCTCACACTAAACCATGGCACCCAAGGCTTTGTCCAACCCGGCCTTGAACACTGCCAGGGATGGAGCATTCACAACCTCCCTGGGCAACCCATTCCAGTGCCTCAGCACCCTAACAGGAAAGAATTTCCTCCTTATATCCAATCTAAATATGTATCTTATGATTATGTTCCAGTTTAGTGATTCACTTCAGGATAATCTGAATCACACCTTGGAAATTTCTATTTCTTATTATGACTGTAAAGGTTTCCTAACAATAGTGGCTGAGATGAGGAGATCTATACTGTATCCATCCACCTTTGTCAGGATTAGACCCAAGGTGTCAGGGAAAGAGAGTGTCAGGATCTGAGTGAGGGAGATCTCACTGCAGTGATGGGGCAAAGCTTGTTCAGTGATTATGGAGGCACAGGGAAGAAGTAAGTTTGGGGAAGGCAGGTAAATGGCAGCTGGAGAAGCAAAGGTGTATTTGGGGATGTAGAAGTTCAAGAGTGAAGGTCAAATGAACATAGGAGAGTAGAACTAGGAAAGGGTTTTTGTATCTATTCTGGTTTAGAACAAGCACATGGCTATTCTAAACCACAACAACTTCAGTCACCTCAGAATAAACTAGTGCTAATGGCACGTGGCTGTGAGATGGGAAACCAAAGCTGAAGTCTGCCTTATTCAGGTCAGGGACTGGAACCAGAATCTTCCATGCTGGGTCTGAGTGTACTAACTCACATACAATGGATGGCATCTGTAGCTTGTCTTTCTGGAAGCATTTGATTTTGTACACATGATTAAATACTTGCACGTACACATGGTAACACCAAAAACAGGACATGGAGTGCAGTGGCAGAAGAAATCCCTTGCAGGTCCTGAGAACATACTCTTGTGGAAACTCTTTACTCTTCTAATGAGAAATTTCAGTATAATTTAATTGACTTTCCCAATGAAATTGCACTGAAAAATTCCCTGAACAGCTCTCATCAGGAGGACCAGAAGAATCCTTCACATAATAGGTTTAAGACAACTAAAAGGAAATAAATCATGACATGAGTGGCTAAACAGATTGCAGAAGTCATTGACAAGGAATACAATGGCCAAAGGCACAAATATGTTCAGAGAACACTTAGATGTGTACATGGAAGGTGACTTCATCAATGGCTAAAATGACAACTGGGTGTAACAGGGAAAGACCAGTCATAGGAGAACCTGGGGTTTATATTCTCCCTTAAGCAGCCTGCCCATGCCTCCTGGTAGAGATCAGGTACCGAGCTAGGTTGCCTTTTGCCCAATATGGCATTTTCATTCTTCTTCTAAGTCCTTCTGTTTCTTGCCCTTGTGACAGTACTGGAAGATGGCACTGGGGTTTGGTCAGCCTCATGTGTATGCCTGCTTCTGTACCCTGTCTGGAGACATCGATCCGTAGGGTATGTCTGATGCAACTACGTGTTATGGTCAAACACTGTTTCTACATGCACATAAGATAAAGAGGTTATTACCCTGTGCCTTCTGTGTCACAGAGCATGCAACAGCCCAAAGCAGGCAATCTTGCCTTTTGTTAGTGCTTCCCAGGTACCCAAAATCTGGCATAAACTCCAGAAGGGTGTTTTCCAAATAGCCTGCAAAGCTGGGAATTAAAGACAAGTGTGAAATCTCTTCCAGCTCCCTCTGTCATCTGGGCATGCTCGTGCCATGAGTCAGCACGGGCTGTTGGGACATCTGGAATGGGTTCATGTGAGTCCGTGGGGTCTGGAGCATCTCGCATGGGAAATCCCTCGGTACTCTGCTCATTTCACTGACGGGCAGCTCATGCCTCCACATGACAAACTAGAGGCAGACCTTTTGCAAAGCATGGTGGAGGAGGATGTTCTGATCCTGATCCAAAACTGTTCTCACGATAACCTCATCTGACTGGTTTAGCCCTCCAGATGGGACAGGCTCTTACATCCAGCACAGGGATGTGATGTACAAACATCTAGAAACCACTTTATTGTTTGTTCAAGGCTAAAACCTGCTCCCATCCTCCTCAGTTTTACATGTATTTCATTCCAGTGATCCAATTTCTGCGTGGCATTAACCATCACCACGCTTGAGTCTTCCCGGATGAGGAGCTATTTTATACCTTCCAGCTGAAAGACACCTGACTTAGGTGAGTACACACCTGCGGTCTGAGCCTGAGCAAGGCATTTAAAGATATTCTTGGCTTAAACTGGGTCTGAGTGGGTGAAACTTGGCACTGAGGTGGCCCATGAAGTGAATGACCTGTGAAAAAGTGTTTTAAAAACAGGGTATCAACTTGGAGCTACATTTTTCTGTGGTTATAGGGCAGCTCTCCGACCTCCCCACCTAGTTTGCAAGTAATCTTGTCAGGACAAAGAATCCATGCTGAGCCTGTGCTGTTGAGACTAGGTGGTTATCAGGACCTGCACTGGTGAACTTGAAGGTAGTTCTCGTCTCTCTGTGGTATAGAGGAGTCACTGTGGTACTGACTGCACTGCAGAGATATGCTCTTGTATTAAACAAAATACACACCAAAAACCCTCTTCTACAGAACCCTGGAATTAATGGTCTTCCTAGCTGGTTTCTTTCAGGCCATTTGTGCTACAGGGTGAGTGTTGAAGATAAAGATTGAATCTGCAGCTCTGAACACCACGAATTGCTTAATTCATCTTAATAGAGGTATTCACTCTGAACCTGAAAAGCTTTTAGTTGAGATTTAGCCTGTGGTTTGCTATTACAAATTGCTTGGTGGTAACATCAGTTTAAGACATTGTTGTCTCCTGGCCTTGTACTTGCTGCTATGCTGGCACAACTACTCCTGTGGTTGGGAACCAGATGGGAGGAGCCATCCAGCTTGAAGGGGGGGAAAGGTTTAGTTTGTGTTTGTGTGTTTAAAGCAGGAAAAGTTCCTCTGTCTGCTTCAGCACCCGGTCACACCGAGCTTTCCTGGCACAAAGGAGTGGAAAGAGCACTTTGGCATGGAGGAAACGAGTGACAGAGGGTGCAAGGTGAGCACAATTCTGGTAATGCCACGGTGTACTTTTTTATCTCACCATGACTTAAAACTGATCTCAATATGTGAAAAATGCTCAAATGCCTTTAAAATTGTTGGCCTTCATCTTTGCTTTTAGGTGTCTTGGCAGACACTTCCAATCTATGTCATTGTCTCCCAGTCTCCAGCCATCTTCAAAGGGTTTCCAGCCTCCCATGTTTTGCAAGTGGGCCCTGCAGCCCATTGGTATTGAAAATGTGTGAATGAATAAAATCACTGGAGTTGAATGACAGTGTAAGTATCAGTTGTCACTGCAAGGAATATTTCCTTCATTTCCATAATGAGTTCATTGAGAAAGAACCCATTTTAATATAAAGGAAAGCAGGGTTTCCACAGTGATATTCTCCTATTGAGCAGACCTCATCATTTAAACCCATTATGGAATGTAAAGATCATTTGCTATATACCTCATTAAACCACCTGAATCCAGAGTTACCATGAAGAGTATGGTAAGATGCCTGGGAAAACAGGCAAAATCTATAAAAAGAACAGACTTCCAAGGCACTAGAAAGTGGTGAATTAATCCCATTGAAAGTTTGCCACCCCAGCAATGGAGCTGTCTGATAAAGAAATTCCCTGCAAACCCAGAACAGTGGAATACCCAAATGATTAGATTAAAGAAATGCTTGCTTTGTTTAAGGAATTATGGTGCTTTTGATGACGTTTCCATTTGCAAATTTGAGTTGTACTTGACAGGATAAACTTTGTATCTCCAAAGCCTCTCTCCATCCATAGAACAAAACTCATATCCTTTCAAAACACAGTCTACCGTAGCTGAAAGTGAAACTTAACCAAGTCTCCTTGGCTATAAATAGCCATATATCCAAATATTCTAGTGCACTGACACAGGTTGAAACCTCATATCTGGTCATTGATTAACATGGCTCATTAATGGAACTGCTAGGCCCCAAAGTGTGGAGTTTGCTACTGGCTTCACTGGGCAACTCCTGCTCATAGCCTGTGTGTAACAGGTTGGGAACCCCTTTTCCCTCTCCATCCTTTCACTGCATTCCCCCATCCTGTGAAAATGAAAGAGAAGGAGAAGGGAATTTCTGCTTGGATTTCTTTGCAGCGACACGCAGACAGAAGCAGCTCAAGGGAACCCTGCACAGCAGAGGTTAATGTGACCCACATATAATTGTGTGAAAAGATGCCACTCTGCGCCTTTGTCAAAGAGGCTTCTTGTTACAACCCCAGCTATCTCGTCCGCAGCCCCTTCAGCAAAGCAGGGTTTTCTTGCATTAAATCACCACTGCCCTCTTGCCAGCTGCTTAGAGTTTGCACATTATCCAGAGGAGATAGAGAATAGATATTTATATATTTTTAAAATGTGACAGATTGTCTCGTAACATATGTAGTAGTGCCTTGAAATGAGCTGCGTGCATGCGATGGCCGAGCCAGCAGCCCCTGTGTGTGTGTGTGTGTGTGTGTGTGGTTTGGGTTTTATTCCTCCTGTTGGAAACCTGAGAGGCCGAGACACTCGAGCTTTTCATGTTGCTTCTCTCTGAAATATTCATGGCGAGTTGGCGACCTTGATTCTTTGATACCTGCCATTTATTTATGTGCCACTGACGATAACTGCTGCTAAGTACATATGTCAGTGACATGGTTGAGTGAGTTGGATGATAAGGGGGAGGAGGGTATCTGAGGGATGCGTGTGCTGGAATAAGATTACTTTATAAACTCCGAGGGCATTTTAGGACAGTGCCATGCCACCTTATTCATCCCACTTTGGGTTTCTGACTAAAGCCTGCTTTCGTTGCTTCTTCTCCAGCTTTTTCTTCCAACTTGGAAATCTGCTGTTTCACTGCTGCTTTTCTTGAAGATGATCATTGGCTCATTACCAAGTGAATTGCTAATGAATTAGTTATGCTTACATTAAAGGAAAAGAGATGCGAGCCTGAGGAGACCCAAGGAATTCTTCTCAAGTGAGAAACAGCTCCTCTTTGAAATGGATTCCAGGGAGTTGGTTAGATGATATGGGGCACTTTGGTACTCTGGAAAGGCAAGGAAAGATGAGGATGGAGCAAAGGAAAATGAAAACAAGAGTATTTAAGCAGGAAAGCACTAGTATCACCTTGTAAATGTGAAATTTAAGCAGGCAAATCTCATTGCTTTTGAGTAATACCATTATCTGGAAGAATGTGGTAACCTGCAAGGCACCAGGCGTAAGGGATTGAAGGTGGGAGTAAATATGTTGACAGAAGGGGTTACAGAAGTGATGAAGTAATAGAATGTATGGGGAGGGAATTCCTGAGTGAGATTAAATGAAGTCCAACATGAACCAGTTTTTGCTGTGGTTGTCAAAGTGTAAAGACATAGAGAATTAAAGAGAAACTGCTGGATCAAATGTGGTTCCTTTTGGCTGCGAGTTATTCCGTGGGCTTTCAGAGACGTAACTGGTGTCAAGACCTGGGTTCAACCTACTTTAGCTAAAGTTTTGTAGCTGAAGGATGTGACCAGGAGCCCCGTTGTCCTAACTAACTTGCTGTAGGTGCCTGTGCTTTCTGCAGTGGTGATCTAGGAAGTGAAGGGTGGTGCTTTCCTGACTCAGAAGCCCTAGTTTAAGGGCCCTTCTAACCCAAACTATTCTATGAGTGTATGAGTTCAAGCTGGACTTTGGATGGGAATTGGAAAGATTAGATGGAGGAAACTGTTGGTCCCCTAGTGCTGAATGCTGAAGGATGGACTCTAATGGGTAGATGTATTGACAAAGTCTTTCTTCACCCAAACTGTGACGTGAAGGAAGACAGAGCAAGGGAGATGATGGAGCAGAACCTCTCCCATGGATTCTCTTTTCACTGTATTTCATACAGAAAATCACAGCACTGTCTCTTTTGGGGGTTATCATTGTTCCCTTTTGGAAGTCACACTGAGCAATGTACAGCCTCCTGAAGAGAAATTTCCTTCTCTGTAAGCAAGCGTGGGGAAAAGGAAGAGGACACGAGGGTGGAATTAAAATTAAACAGGCCTAAGAAGATTCTGCATATGCTTCTTGAACCGCAGCCGTTCTAGAGAGGCAGGAGATAAGGTGGCTTAGGGAATGCAGCTGAGTCCAGAGAGGCATTTGTTTAAGATTGATATCAAACCTTGGGACTGTGAGTGGGAGGGTTTTTTGAGGAAGGAACAGGATGTTGCCGGGAGGGAGGGAGGCTGATTTATTAGGAGAGGTCAGTAGCAGGAAGTCACTGGAGATACACAGTGGTCTAAAACACAGGCCAAGGAACCCGTGCGAGGACACCAGTTTATGCTCTGAGATTCTGGCCCCTCAAAACAAGGCCAACAAAGTGGCTGGGTGGTCTAATTTAGGGTCATCCTTGGTGGTCCTGTGTAGATGTGTTTTGGTCGGCTTTCTTGTCCATGTGGGTGTCTGTGCACAAGGACTGGTCCTGCTCTGGGGTCTGTTACGCAGGCTTATACCATTAAAAAGGAGATCACTGCGCATAGAAGAGAGATTTCAGACCTTTCTTAGGGCAAGAAGTCATTTGGTGCTTACACAGATATTTGGGCACATGGGGGCATGAAGCAGTCGTATTTATCATTAAGCTCCCCTCCCTGAGATAGGAAGATTCCCTGGGACACAAGAAATGAAAAGACTGGCAAGGGAAGAGGAGTCACAGCCAGGAATGACCTTTCAGGCCATAAACAGGATTGGAAAGTTCAGCTGGATGGAAAGCTTTAACTAGCTGTCAATCTGCAATCTGCAGCTCCACGTCAATGTAATGGCCCATTTATCTTGAGCAGGACTACTGCAGGCATCAGTGCTTTTTGATACTGATGACTATAAATAAATTCTTGATTATTAGGCACAGCCACCTTCTGTCTAACCCACTTCTGAGTGTCATTTGTGTGTATTTTGCTGTCCTGTCTTCTGAGCCGGTCAAAACCAGGTCAGGAACAGTTGTCCTTCCTGAGAAGGAAGATGCTGTCACAGACAGCCCTCAAGTCAAGCAGGCAGGAGTGTGGAAGCAGGGACTTAGGTTCTCTGGGAAATGCAGCCTTGGAGTGAATGGGAGGATGCCTTTTGACTTCAGATGGCCTGAAATGACTTGCCAAAGGTCACACAGATAATTTTTTGCTTGGGTGCAGGACTGAGTTCATCTCTTCTTCGTAGGGACGAATATCTCAACAGTGCTCCAATATCCCTGTTCAGCTTCCCATTATTGCAGACTTGGCTGTGTTGTGGTTTTATTCCGTGCATTTAAACCCTGCTCCTGTGCTTTTGTTTCTTTCTGCAGCTATTCTGGCTGTCCCTGCTGATAATTGCCCAGATTAGATCTACACAAGAGGGTAACATCTGAGCTTTTAATGCTGTCCTTTTATCTGATGTCCTCCAGCTCGTGGTCCTGTTGTCCCTGCACAGCTTGGTATGTGGTGATGTTCACCCTCCTGCTTACACTCAGTGTAATGATTTATCATGTGTTATCAGTAGGACTCTGTACAGTGTCCAGGGACAATGTTTTCATCCATCTGGTTCCAAGCTGGTGGAACACCCTTCCATATGGTTTTCACATGTGGTTCTTCTAGTACCTCCTCTCTATTTTTTCCCTCTGCATTCATCATTATGCAGTTCATCTTACAAGTACACTTTGTTTCACTTTATAAATTAGTCATGTGCATGAATTAAAACTTCAGCAAATGTGGATATTTCTTAAATGACAGAGATTCACAGCTGGGTGAATCTATCTTCTGGAAGAAATATCCAGTCCCACTGCTGCAGTGTTTCACACCACTCTTCATACAGATATTAGCCTGATGGCTTGTTCTGGAAGAATCTTATCTTCTAACATGTGCACAAGTCTTTTGGTTCTGTTCTGTATTATGAAGATGCTGGTCGCA